CCTTTATATTGTTACGTTAAATATACATAACTGTAAACATGTTTTTCTAATAAATATTTTTGCCTAGTAGGCAATATCCAAGGGACCCCTACGCTAAAACCAGTTCCATGGCGTTCTTTGAGATCATTCGCGGCTCAGTTGAAAGACCGGTCTGCATTCCATCCTTCCATACCAGTCGAGAAGGTCACCGTCCGAATTTCGAAGGGATTAACTGTATTTTATATTTAAGGAGGAAATTTTGTTGAAAAGAGTCAGTTAGTTCTTTAATATGAAGTCGAGTTTTTAGATCGAGATATAATTGTACGCGGAAATAAATATAAATAAATATTGTGATAAATTAGTGAACAATAATAAAGACTTTAATACATTTGTAAGTGTTATAAATAGAACCTTTGATAATAAATAAGGACAATAAATTAGAATTAATAAAAACACTACAATATATTACAGTACACAATACAAAAAAATAATTGTATCTTGTCCTGGGTTACAAAAAGAAATAGGGCGCTTTATAAGAGATCAAAGAGCGGAGGTGAACGAATTAATAGACCCGAAACATAGCGAAAAGGATGGATGAACTGACTATCTAAAGAAGTTAGATACAGACGAACAACAAATGACATTGGAGCCACTTCTGCCTTGGACCTCGTCTAATGCTTCTCTGAATATAGACTCCGAATACAAATTAAACAGTAGCGGTGATAAGACGCAACCCTGTCTCACTCCTCGTCGGAGTTGTATATCTTCGGATGTTGTGTGCTCTATTTTAATTGTTGCCATTTGGTGCCAGATTAGGTCTAAAAACTATATAAACTGACATTAATTAACAATATTATAAGACACAGTAAAATACCAGAAGAATGGAGGATAAGCAAGCTAATCTGCTCTGTTTTCTACACTAAAACTTACAACTAAAATTTTGCAAGAACCAATGAATCTTTATTCATAAATTCATAAATTTAGCAGATGAAAAACAAGGTTTCCATACGGGAAGGTCGTGTACAAATGCAATCTTCTTAGTCGTTAACCTGATGCAGGTATCGTGATATCATGAAGCTATTAGCTAAATTTCCCAATGTTCCTCCACGTTTTTCTATCTTTTGCCATTCTAGCACATTCTGACAATGGAGCGCCAATGGTAGCAACAATATGGTCCGTGTATCGTGTGGGAGATCTACCCCTATTTCTTTTGCTTTCTACTTTTCCCTGGATGGTAAGTTTTTTGAGACCATTTCTTCGAAGCACATGTCCAAAATAGCTTACTATAATCTATGAAGCACAAATATGTTGTGATGTTGAATTCTCTGGATTTTTCTACAATCTGCCGTACGTTTAAAATTTGTTCTGTAGTACCACGTCCGGGACGAAACCTGCTTGTTCGTCCGCAATGTTAGGTAGTAAAAAGGGCTTTATCCTCTCGAGAATTATGTGTAAGAGTATCTTACTGCAATGCGCAATTAGAGCAATTGTGCGATAGTTGCTACATAAATTTTTCGCTCCCTTTTTATGTATGGGAATATATAGTGATTGTGTCCAGTCCTCATTCCATTTACCTGTCTCCCACACTCTTTGACAAATTTGATGTATTATATCCACTCCAGAGTCATCTAGTGCCCAAATCATTTCAATAGGTATGTTATCTGAACCGGCAGCTTTCTGACTTTTTTGCATCATAATTGCTGCTTCAACTTCATTTTTGAGTACGTCAGGTTCCGTCGCAAAACTGGCATCTTCTTGTTGTGATGGGGCGTCTGTGCTTTCCTTCATCATCAGTCGTCCACAGTATTCTTTCCATCTGTGTAAAATATCTTTTTTAGAAGTGAGTAGAGTTCCGTTATCATCTTTGATAGCGAGGTAGTTTGGTGTAAAGGAATGTGTTATCTGCTCTATTTTTTTAAACATGTCTCTGGTCTCAGTTTTGGTTTTATGCTCTTCTATTTCCATGCAGATTTTGTTTAAGTGTGTGTTCTTGTCCTTTTTGCAGAGTCGTTTTGTTTGACCGTTCAGCGCTTTATAGGCCTCTTTATCACTTTCACTGTTCAGTCCTATGGCTTTTAAGCACTTCCTCTCCTGTATTTTAGTCCACGTGGAGTCTGTTATCCATTGTTTCCTTCTTTCTTCTCTATCACTCTTAATGTTTTTCGCAGCATTATGCAATATGGATTTTGTTTTTGTCCATATGCTATTTGACGACTCTTCTGGATTTAATGATTATTTGAGGTCACATAGCTTTTGCATTGCGGCTTTTTTGTACGGATCGTTATATCTTAGATGCCATTTAGTTGTTGTATTTCCTGTTTTTCGACTGTTTCTTAACTTCATGCGAAATTCAGCTGATAAAAATTGATGGTCGCTATTACAATCTTTTCCTGGATAGGTCTTACCATCCTTAACAGCGCTCCTCCAACGGGTTTTTACCAGTATAAAATCTATCTGATTTCTGTATCTATTTCCTGGTGATATCTAAGTGTATAATAGTCTTAGGTGATGTTGAAAGCCTGTATTAGTAAAAAACAGGTTGTTGTCTATACAAAAGTGTAGCAAGCGTTCTCCTCTGTCATTTCTTTGGCCAAGTCCATATAATCAAATGTAATATCCGTCATAAAACAGATTAGAGAGAAAACGTTAGAATTCAATAGATCCGCCTTCCTATGTTTGATCAACTTAAAAAAGGAATTTGGCAGAGTAGGACCTAAAAGATGTAATACATTTCTTGTATAATAATCCAGCTGAATAGTATAAAGACAATAGAAAACGTCTATCAAAACAATACAATGGAAGTCAGAAGAGATGGACAACTTACGGAACCTATAGATACAGGCAATGGAATAATAATACAGACAGATTCACTAAGCCCTATGCTATTCAATATAATAATGGATGAAGCCACAAAAAACGTTAATAAAGGACGATTATACAGAATGGGAAACAACATGATGTAATATTGATAGCTGAAAATGAAGATAGCCTTTTCACAGACTAGTTTACAGATTTAATACTAGAACAAAAGAATTTAACATGATGATTTCAATTCAGAAAACGAGAACAATAGTAATCAGCAAAGAACCAATAAGATGTAAACTGGAAGTCGATGAAGTTAGCATTGAACAAGTAATGAAAATAAAGTACCTAGGGATTACACTGTTCAGCTATGGAGAAATTGAAAAAGAAGTAAGAGATCAAGTACAAAGAGCAAATAGATTATGTTTAATAGATAACGTAACTGACACATTAACTGTGAGATGAATTCAAGAATCTATAAGGCTAGTGTTAGTGCCAAACCGGACCTGTTCCGAATTCCAGACGATGGGACAAGGGGTGCGGGTTGCTCCCCCACTCACCGAGAAAGGACACAGTCCACTACAAGCTTTCGAAGAGCAAAGACAATTTAAAAATATATTTGTGTATCGCTATTGTTTTAAACTTTATAATAAAAACGTGAAATTCTCAAAACTTACACTATTTATTAACAGCTAGTATACGACCAATAATGACGTACGCATCAGAAACAAGACCCGACACAATCTAAAGCCACATACTTCGAAACAAAGCTCAAATAATCGAGATAGAACTTTTCCTCTTGAAAGCCACCTAATCTCTATATGTAAGAGCAAACGGTCATGAATACATTTCGGAACACAAAAGCCGAAATAGTCTTTTAATAACGTCGTTTAGGACCTGTCTTAATTGATCTGGAACCTATTTATCTGCCAAAGCTTGTCTGTGTATGCTACAACATATTCCGGTACGACTGCTTTAATTCGTATTAAAACGTCTCCATGTTTTCCTCTCATTTAACGTGCACCATCTGAACATACCCTCACGCACCTCACTCACGTCCAATCCAAACAAAGCTTTGTAATAAAATCATTCACTTTATTAAATATTTCTTCTTTTACTTTATTTTCGTGCAAAAAGTGGCAAAATTTGTTACATCGATACTTTGGTCCACTTGCAAGGCGAAAAAAATACTAGACTTTATTTGTTCTATGACGCTTAATATTATTGGCAACTTCAAGTATTCTATGACTGTACTATCAAAAGTGAAACCGAATTCACTTTTTTGGCTGCCTTTTTCCACAAAACACAATTTAAATGTAATTGACAGTTGGTAAAATAAGTCTTTCTCCAATTATATGTGGTTCTCCACACTTGGCAATTCTTAAATTGCTCAAAAATTAAGCTTTAAAAGTATTTTCGTTGTTTGAAGAGAACGAAGCTATTTTCTTCTTTCCACCTTTAAGTTTGGCTCTTTTATTTAAAAAAAATCTAGCGGTTTTTCTGATAGGTTCTTATGCTTCAAATTAAAATGGTGCTGCAGCTAAGACAACTTCATTGAATGATTTGGAAATAACTTAAAACATATTACACATTGCATCAACAAAAGAAAATCCAATTTTTAAATAATTTGAATCATATTGTCTAGTAACTGTTTTTGGTTTGTTACGATTTTAGTTTAAATCAACGTTTGTTACATTGCTTGAAGTACACATTTGTATTGAATTGCACTTTTGTATTTTGAATTGCACTTTTTTGGCTGCCTTTTTCCACAAAACACAATTTAAATGTAATTGACAGTTGGTAAAATAAGTCTTACAAACTACATAACAAACTAAACGTTTGTTACATTGCTTGAAGTACATGCTAAATCACTTGTTTCTTGAATAGAACATTCTTCTACAGCTTCTACAGGTCTCTTTAACCATTTATCCATAACTTTATATTTAAATAACAAGGTACGCTGCTAACGTAAACTGACTTGTGTGTACTACTCTCAGTTATAAAGTCAAATACCTACCAAACTATATGCGATTTGCGACTACTCAGCGATTTCACAATCAGTGTTGCCGGCATTTTGAAAATACTGTACTGTACCTGTACCACAGGTTGAGAACTGATGAACTAAACTAACTAAACAATGGCAAAGCCTTAAGATAGGTATAAATACTTCAACTATGATTTTTTTCAATGTAATAAAACTCTAATGATTATTTACTTACTTGATTTGACAACAATTCTACACCTTCCGCTTTCTTGTCCTATTGAATTATTTAGATGGCATTCGTAATTTCCTGAATCTGATTGAACAGAATCGACAATAATAACCATTTGATTATCATGAATAAAAAAGTGCCGTTCTGTTGGTATAATTAAATCACCATCTTTCAACCATGTTATTGTTGGCTTGGGCAATCCTTTTGCAAGACACTGTAGTACAACATGCTCACCTAAAATATTTTGAACGTAGCAAAATTTTAAGTTGATAAAAATGTACTTACCGACATAAACTTCTTTATCCATCATTTTTTTAATAAATGATGGTTTTTCTTCAACAATAAGAGTAGCATTTGCGTATATCATGCCAGCAGAATTATGTGCTGTGCAGCTATACATACCCATATCAACTGGCTTAGTGTTTACTATAAAAATTGCATCATCTGAGGGCATAACATTTACTCTTCGTTCCCTAGCAGCTGGAAAGTCAGTTCCATCTTTATGCCATGCTATTTCTGGAAATGGTTCACCAGTGGCACCACATTCCCATTTAACAGTTTCTCCGGCACGTACAGTTACATTTTTCGGCACTTTCTTGAAAGCAGGGTACACAAGTACAGATATAGTTGACTTTTGGGAATACGTGACACCAAAACTATTGGCTACCAAACACTGGTACTTTCCAGCATGGTAATTGTCAATATTTATTAAATGCAGTTTGGATGTCGTTTCTGTTGATTTTCCGTCAGAATAAATTCTGGATTTCACCTCATTGTTGGGATTCATAAGTTCAGCATTGTCTTTACGCCATGTGAATTTCATTGGATCTGAAGAACTGGACATCGCTTTACAGTTTAGGGTTATATTTTCGCCTTTTAATGCCATTATTGCTACATCAGGTTCTTCAATTAATCGAGGTTTTGGCAATTCATCTAAAACAAAAAGATTTATATTTTCCCTGGTCATAAAGTTTTGGTCTATTATTTGTAAAACTGTATAAACATTTGCACTTACTGCAAGTGAAGTTACTTGTTACTTCAAGTAATGATTGACCTCTAAGCCAAGCTGGATAAGAACAGTAGAGAGCTTGTACTTTTAGTTGCTTGAGAAGAAGCCAGTCCAAAAACCACTTCAAATTACAGTCACATAACAGGCTAGTAGTATTTATTACCAGCTCCTATTAAAAAAGTAGTTTTAATGACACCAAAAAAAAACCTTATGATCTCTTACCTTTAACATTGGTAGTTCGGCAAAAGCATTATTTTGAATTGAGGTAATATTATTGTTAGATAAATTGAGATAAGTAACATTTTTTAGTCCTACAAAAGCATCTGCATTTATGGACTTAATCTGATTGCCAGCAAGATGAAACTTCATTAAGGAATTAAGACCTTGAAAGACCCCAAAGGCATCCTCGACAGTCCAACCAATTTTGTTATTACTTAAATTTCTAAAATTAAATTATTCTTTCATTAGTACATACTAAAAAATGTTGGGATTTATAGTACAACTATTTATCAATAAGAATATGTATTGACATAAAAAATTTAAATATCGCCCATATATATTGCCAGTATGCCAGGCTCTTCTAATGCCATTTTTATTTATTTACAAGCTATCGATTTTTAAAAAAATTTTAGCTGTTCTGACGATCTTTTCAGATCTGTTTGCCTTGGTGGATCAGTCCACTGATAGTTCTAGTTGGTCTATCCAGTAGTGCCTGTGTCCAGTTCTTTATTTCCAATGTTCTTAAATCTCTCTCAACTTGATCCTGCCATCGTATCTTGGGTATCCCTCTTGATATCCACTTCATTAATTTTCTTTGAGCTGCGTTTTATGCTCTCCTGAATATATATCCGTACCACCTAATACTCTGTGCGTTTATTATTCTTAAAATGTTTTCTCAATTATAATTATATAATTATAATAGGCCAATGAAGTTGGGTTTTTACTTGAAACAACTCTATAGACGGGTTTCATAGTTGAAATGTATAGTATGAGATATTACAAAAAGACTTATTTACGAATTCATCAATTTTTTAGTGGAACTATTTTTAAATCGACAATTAAAACGTCAAACTCATTGTTTTGCTCATGACTTAAAAACCTGTCTATTTAGAGATTTAATAACAACAGGCAACTTTTTCAGAAAAAAAAAGATAAACAAAATGATATATGCTAAATTAAAATCGGTTAATGACTGAGCCACAGTATATTGCTTAAAAAGAATCAGTAGGTTCACTCTCGCATTTTCACGGTTCCAATTTTGAATCCACTCCTAGGTTCGTGCGCAATAGATTAGGCGAAAAATGCCGCTGTTGCAAGATTTAAAATATTCTATCAGTTTCAAAGAATATTTCTAATTTATAATAAAATAATTATTATGGAATTTCTTCAAAAAGAGAAAATATATTTAGTTATGTTGAGTGCTCTAAACTAATCATTCCTCCAAAGTTCATTAAGTCAAAGTGAAATAGATTTGTCCTAAGTAGTACTTGTAGAACTGCAGTACAGATAAGCTTGATATCATAAAGAATTTCTACATCCTTGGAAATCAATATATCCCTGTTCCAGAAGTATAAACACATAATTGTAAAATTTTGAAAAATGACTTTATTGTGTTGGATGGCTCAAAACTGCATTTTCTATATATTTTTAAATCATCATAACTGTATTACGGAATCACCGGTAATGGCGAAATTCGTTAGTACAATTACGACGATTTACAAATATGTTGAAAATGCAGTTTTGATCCCTGCAACACAATATTTTTCACAAAGTCATTTTTCAAAATTTGACGGTTATGTCATTATACTTCCGGAACAGCGATATATGCTATCACTTTGCCATCGTTGTCTGAAAGTGGAATCTGATTTTGTCTTTCAAAATTATGATTCGACTGTTACTGTTCCTGTCTGTGAGTAGGTATCTTAGCTGGGTGTAACATATATTCTACTATTTTATATTCTGCAAGAATTTGAGTACTACCTTATTTGCAGAAAATATATAACAGGCCTCCTAAAATCCAGCTTTGGTTTGATTCTTCATGCTTTAGTATTAAAAACAGAACTTAAATTTTAAACTTAAAAAACTTAAGATATGTAAAAAACATAACTTTCTTGAACCTTTTAAAACAGAATATTAAATAGCTGAGAAGATTTATATCGAATGTTAGGATTCGATCAATTAATTTTTTACTCAGCCTGAGGCCTTCTTAAGTCAATAAATCAAAATTTGTCTTAAAGGAAATCTATTTTTATATATCATATTGTATATGGACGTTTTCAGATTGTAAGTACAACTTTTGACGTTTCTGGTTTGTTTACTTTGTGGCTGTCAGTTTGTTGACTATTTTGCTATTTTTTGTCCTGTTTTTACATTTTGGAATTATTTATATTACACAAACAGTTATTTTCACAACTAACTTTATACTGCAGTTGAAAATTTTATGGTAAGTGTATTTTATTTTGCCTTAATTTTCCTTAAAGTTAACCTTATTCACACAGATTGCCATAACCACTTTCTGTCACTTGCTGTTGCGTTGAGTAAATTTCCGACTGATTTCGTATACTTTAAATCATGACGCACGGGTAAAGATATATTGACTCAACTGAAATACGTCATTATTGATCGAATTTCATGGCATGTGATGTCTCTCATCAAACGTGACAGAAATAAATAAATAACGAACATTTTCCTCCGGTTGGCAACTTGCTGAAATGTACAGAGAGGTGTAGCTTTCAATTTTTATACGTGATGGGCGGGGTAAACTATTTGGGTGGAGTTTTGACTTGTTCTTGAATGAGTTCAGAATCCAGCAGCCCGCTGAAGTATTGGATTTTTATAATATAATTATTTGACAACCTTTTGTTGGCCAACCACCTAGAGCGGAATCCAATTAACATTTTCCCACTAAAGATTTTTAATTCACTACATTATTACATAATAGTGTATACTTACATAAACTTTAGTTTTGGTAGATGAAAAAAAGTTTTTTCATTGATAACTGAGATATTATTATTATTTAGAGAAAGTTTCTGGAGATGGTCAAGATTTTTAAACGTATCAGATTCAATAGACGTCAGATTGTTAAAAGACAGATCCCTGAAAAACAAAAGGTATATGAATAAATCAGAATTTTATAATTATGAAATTGGTGTTGTTATATTTAGTGTTATAGTTATGAAAGACTTGATTTAAAATAGTTTTAAAAACAATTTTGCTGTTAGACAACTAGGATTATGTCTAATATGTTTTATTTATTTTGATATAAATACTTACAGTAACACCAGCGTTTTGCAAAATTCCCATGAATCCTGTTCAATTTTCTCAATAAAGTTGTGACTGATAGAAAGCTCTTTTAAAGCCTCTAAACCGTATAACCAGGTTTTTGATATTATTTTTAAAGAATTGAAATCCAATAACCTAAAAAATGTTAAAATATATAATTACTATGCGCATACTGTGATGGGTAGCTCTTTGAGACAGCAGACTCAGTAAAACTCAGGTTTAATTAAAATAAAAACATATTAATACTACGGCGACGGTATCGGCGCACAGATGGATGACCCTACTATTTAATACCTCGAAAAATAAAATATAAGTAATGTCATAAAATTGAAACGACAATTACGGTGTGTTAGAACACAGACGGTGAAGAAAAGGAAGGAAGGTGTAGCGAGAAGTGACTAATAAACACTTAGCCACCGAATAGGTCTGTCTTAGATCAATACTCTAAGACTGGTAAAGAACTGCCACTAGATCAACACTCTCACAGAAGCGGTTGGCCTTCAGTCAACACCCAAGGGCCCGTGGAGTTGTTACCAGATCAACACTCTGATGGAACTCGATTCTCTCGTGCGGCGGCTCCTGTTTTATACTGTCGTCGGTCTTTCATCTCCACTAGCGCGCATCGATGGAAGTAGACAGTGCAGTGGGACTGCGCATTTTCATTTACGACTGTAGTGTACAAACACGACCAAAAATCCACAGTTTGGTGGAAATATGTGGATGATGTGTTCTCCATTTGGCGTCATGGACCAGAAGCACCGAATAAATCTTTGATTGACATTAACTGAAGAGAAGAATCGATCAATTCACTTCAAATCGATCAAACACAATTTCTGGGTGTGTTATTCGCGATACAGAATATGTACAACACATATTTAAATTCAATCAAACCTCAACATAAATATAAAAAAGAGAATTATCAGATCATTATAATATGACAGTTCAAAACACCTGCTCAAATGAATAAGCATTTCAGGAAAAAAAAATCCTGCTAACAAGGGTTTTAACAAAAAATTATTATCCACTGCCATTTATGTACAAGGAATTTTGCAAGATTAAAGAAACGAAAAAACATAACACCAAAAGCAAGCCCGAAATGCCCACAAGTAAAGATTCAGATCCTACCATTGAGATCTATTATGTCCAAAACTAAACTAAACAACATGCAGGAGAGATCAAAGAACTAGATCTATAAAATCCCTACTACTTCTTCTTCATAGTTCCGGCAAAAACTTTTTTCCCTAATACCTATAAGACCTTTGTACCAAACACTGTTTTTGGTTGATAGCAATTTGGAACAGTTTTCACCTTGGTAGTTTAAGGTTCTTTTTGGTTCAAGCCCCAGAGGACCAGTGAATTCGCACCTCATATCACCTAGCACATTAAAATTGCATAGGATGTGTATGGCAGTCTCCTCTTCTATTTCGCATTTTCTGAACCTTGGTTCATTCACCTTACCTATTTTGTATAAGTGTTTTCTTAAACGACAATATCCAGTCACCATTTCGGTGACTGTTTAATCTCTCGTTTATTGAGATTCATCAAATTATCCGAGAGTTTTTTGTGTGTCCTTGTTATTATTTTCTTAATTTGGCTTTGTTCTTTATCTATTTCTTTTGATAATTCCTGATCAGTCACTTGTGAACCTTGTTTCTTGCAGCATCTTTCGTAATGCCACGCAATTGTTCTGGGTCTACGAAGGTTTCTCTGTTTCGCCAACAAATTTGATCATTCATTCCCATGTATCCCTTGTCCATGACCCGGCACCCATATTAAAGACACTTTATTGTCTTTGACTAGTAGAACCCAAGGTATATATATATATATATATATATATATATATATATATATATATATATATATATATATATATATATATATATATATATATAGTAGTTTTGAGTTTCTTGAACCGTAATTATATTATATATATATATATATATATATATATATATATATATATATATATATATATATATATATATATATATATGTATTGAACCATATTATATTTAATATAAAATTAATGTTTCTTGGGTTTAGGTTCAATAAATATATGTTACATGTGGAACTAGATTTTATTTTCCATTGCAATCAATCAACGTTTCGGCAGTAAACCCTTGCCTTTGTCAAGATTCAAAACGTAAAACGTGACACAGACATTAACAGAATATATATATATATATATATATATATATATATATATATATATGTATATATATATGTATATATACAGTGGTGCGTGCGATATCAGCCGGCTTTTTAACGTAAGAGATAGAAAACACAGTTACCTTGTGAAATAAAAGGAGATGAAACTCGTAGAGGTGGGAAATAATCGATAGAAACCTATAATTTACATTACATTACGACTATCGATAGTCTCACACCTTTAGACGTTACCTTCGATCTAAATCACCTCGGTCATAATTATTATGTTTGACAGTTTGACGTCGTATGTGTGACGTATTTCCATTTTTTAATTTAGATAAAGTAAAAACTGATTGACCACAATAAAGCAAAAATGTGAATAAAATAATTTAATTAATAGTGATTATTTATTCTAAAGTTTTAAATTATTAACCAAGAATAATTTCTACTATGATTTTAGGAGTTTCATACACTCTTGTCACAGAATAATTAGCAATCCCTCGTGGATTAGTGGTAAGAATTCGACTCTGCGACGCAGATGATCAGAGTTCAAAACCTACATGAGGTTTTCTTTTTTCTTTTTTTAATAATTTGAAATTTTGCAAAGATCGTTTTGCTTTGAATCACTAAATATTTATGTCAGTCGTTACTAGTATTTGAAGTGTTTAAAGTTAAACATAAATATCTTATTGAAAAAATAGTGTCGTTGTACTTTCGAAACTAAAGTAAAATTCTTCAAAATTAAAAGAATGTTTAAATAAGTAAAAATTTTACAAAAATAAAAAAATATTGTAAATAAACGTATTTACAATATGTTCAAATAAACCTTCATTAGCAGCAGAATAATAACCCAAACTGTCACTAAAGAATTATAAAAGTCTGATAGATCAGGGCTGAAGGCACGATGTACTCATGCAGGCGGTTAGGGTTCAAATCCTACAAAAAGTTTTTACTTTTTTAAAAATTTGAAATTATGCAGATATTATATCGTTTTGCTTTAAATCATAAAACATTTATTTCAGTCTTTATTAGAAGTGTTTATAGTAAAACATGAAAATCTTATTGAAAAAACAATGTACTTTCTAAAATAAAGTAAAAATTCTTCAAACATAAAAGAACGTTCTAAATAAATGTACTTACAAAAAATGTTTAAATAAGCAGAAATTCTATAAAAATATTCTAAATAAACGTATCTTATTCTAATGAAATATATTTACAAAAAATGTTCAAATAAGCCTCCATTAGCAGCAGAACAATAACCCAATCTATTATAAAAGTTTCGTCTAACATTAGTTAATGTTTCTGGACTAATACCTCTCATTGAATCAAAGATCTTTTCTCTTAATTCTTGGAGAGAATTAGGCCTATCGTCTTCAATTCCATATAGTTTGGACTTGATATATCCCCACATAAAAAAATCACAAGGTGCAAGATCAGGTGATCTTGCAGGCCAAAAAATATCTCCGTGTACACTAATCAATCGATTAGGAAAAGTCGCACTGAGATATTCACTGACGATGCGAGAATTATGTGCAGGACAACCATCGTGTTGAAACCATATGGAATCGAAAGGAATTGGTAAATTACGAAGGGCTGGGACAATTTGATTTTGCAGAAGTTCCAAGTATTTCCGCCCAGTCAACATACCGTCTATAAAAAATGGACCAATGACATGATTCCCTATTATGCCTCCCCAAACATTTACTTTTTGAGGACGCTGGGTACGAGCAACATAAATCTGACGAGGATTTCCTCGGGACCAATACCGAGCATTCATTGAATTGTGACGGCCATGCAATGAAAACGTACATTCATCGGTGAACAAGACGTTCTCTAAAAAATGTTCATCTTGATGTGACATTTCCATTGCAGTTTGACAAAATTCTAAACGTCTATATTGATCCCCAGGGAATTGTTCGTTGGATTTATGAAGTTTATAGGGTCGGTATCCATGCCTTTTCAAAATTTTACCAACTCTAAATCTTGAAATTCCATATTGTTCTCCGAGACGAGATGTTGATTGGGTAGGATTTTGCTCAATACTTGCACAAATCAAAGTGTCTCTTAGTTCCAAATCTGGATTTACCTCCCTTCGCCTACGAACTCCTCTTGGAGCGAACACGGATCCATAAGTAAAAAAATTACGTATAATAGATTGAATTGTTGATCGTGATGGAGCCGGCCTATTTGGAAACATATTTACAAAGTGTTGTCTAATCATGTTGTCTGAGAATCCATTCACATGCCAGACAACAATTTGCACTTTTTCCTCGACCGTTAAAACCATTTTTACGAATTGTTTTTTCAATAAAAAGTTTCTGTTTACCGTGCAAAAACACTTCTCGATATGTTATTATTTGATGGCTTAAAGGCTTTGCTTCGCGCGCATCCATTCCAATGTTGTCAATTGTTTTGAAAATCATTATCTGTACAGAGGAATTGATATTAACATTGAGAATTTAGTGATGGATTTGATATAAACAGTCTTCACCGGATTATTTTGCATTCACAACTGAAGACTGTATGAATTGAATTTGAATCATTTTGTATTTCCGTTTTATAACATTGGAATAAAAATAAATTGTAAATAATGAGTTTTTCGAAAATTTGTTACCTAATATGTATCATATTTTCTATTATTTTTTTATTGATAAAACAAAAATTTTATCCTTGGTGTGGAATTGAACCCCAATTTTCTCGTCAATAGACAACGTCCCTAACGACTACACCAATTTCACATACATTAAGTGTTTCCAGACAAAACATACCCACCTTTATTTTAGTCAAATATTTCAGTTGAGTTATTGTTACTATTAAGTAAATTTAAAGATTTATAATTTAAAATCGCTACTAATGAATGTTTTTTACTATAACATATCTTAATTTATTCAAGTATTTATTCTAACATCAGAAATTATTAAAATAAAATATTTTTGAGGGTATCCGTATAATTATGACGTATGATGAATAATTATGAAGTATGATGGTGGTAATGCAATGTAATGTAAATTATAGGTTTCTATCGATTATTTCCCACCTCTACGAGTTTCATCTCCTTTTATTTCACAAGGTAACTGTGTTTTCTATCTCTTACGTTAAAATGCCGGGTGATATCGCACTCACCACTGTATATATATATATATATATATATATATATATATATATATATATATATATATATATATATATATATATGTTATATGAGAAAATATTAAACTTGAACTAGCTTAAGTTCGCCGACTTCAGATTTCATCATCCCATTCCCAAAGAAAACGCTGAGCACGCAGTAGGACTTTGTACGAACTGTTGGCCAATATTCATGGGAACAACGATTCAGCACTTCATACCAAACCTATAAATTACCATTTTTAGATGCCGGAACCGCTCTTAGCTGCAACTTCGACCAGTCCAGTTATTGTAGTCATTTTAAATTAATTTAATTTTGTACTATTATTTAATATTTAATTTGTAACAAATAAAGTTCTTTTTTAAAAAGTCAAATACGTGATTAGTGATCTAACAATTGGCGCAGTCAGTAGGATCCGGTTAACGTTGCTAGAACACGTGTATACTCACTGGCAGCGGCGGATTCTCATCCCTTAACGGAACAAAGAATCTACGGAAGTCCTCACTCCTGTGATCTACGGAAGGAACACCTAGTGAAGCCCCTGGTAGCCGAGCAGAGAGAACAAGACGACCCTTAAAGAAGAAAGCATCTCCGAACAACCTCACTCCTGTAATCTACGGAAGGAACACCTAGTGAAGCCCCTGGTAGCTGAGCAGAGAGAACAAGGCGTCCCGATGTTCTTCTTTATGTAAGTGGATTTTGAATCATCTCGTTAATAATTTTGTTATAATAATTTACGAAATTGACTATACTGCAAGTCAATTAATCAAGATACATAAAAAAATACAAGTTGATTATCTAATATTTGAAATTATTGATATTGACATATTTCTTTCATACTATTTTATACTGATATTTTATTGAAATTTTCTTTTACTTGCTATATTTTTGGTATATTTTCTCTTGATATATTTTTATTTGATATATTTGATAAATTTTTATTTGATATATTTGATACATTTTTATTGATATATTATTTGATATTTTAAATTGATACATTTTTGTGCTTTATATACCACCACATTTTTTTTCTTCCTTATATACTGATATATTTTATACTTCTTCATACTTCTATTTTTCATTTTCGTTGCAAAATATCTCGAAAAATGCCCGAGACACGTTCCCAAACTCAACAAGAAATCGAACCATACAAGCTTTCGGAAATCTTTTCCATTATCCCAGAATTTGAAGGCGATCCGATTTCTCTGTCTACATTTTTAGATGCGTGCGACTGTGCCTTTAAAATGGTCACAAGCGATCAGCGCGTTCTATTAACGATTCACGTAAAAAATAATGTAAAAAAATTTATCCCCAGATCAAAAAACCGCCCAATGTGACTTAATCGATACCATGGCCCTAAACACTTCCGGTTTAGAACCCCGTCTAGGACAAATTATTAGGGCTATGTGTGTGTAGTTTTATTTTATGACTAGAGACATAGTCCATTAGCCTATTATGTTTTGAGTTATTAATTAATTTTTTAAACAATTGTTATAGAGAGAACCCGTAATAACAATAAAATCTTAACTTCTATTCACTTACATATAAGTACGTAACTACAGGGCTAGTAATCCAAAAGATCTCATTGAAGCAAGCAATCGTATTAGACGCGAACTTCAATTGTCATATTTTGAAGAACAAAAATCTAATTCTAGATCAACTATTCCTAAACCCTCTCAACCAATGAGAAGACCCTCATCTCAGTTTAAAAAATGTACACATTGTGGCCGCACTGGTCATCTAAATACTGAATGCCGCTCTTCACGTTTCGTACAGCCAAACCAAACTTTTTCTAGGCCACACGGTTACCAAAACCAATACAATAATGAACCTAACAACTATCAAAACAATCAGAACCCTAATAGGAATCAATATTCTTCCAACAATCCAAATTTCAACCAACAGAGGCCCTCCTTTTCATCTCAAAATCAAAATCGTCCATCTGTTATTCAAAGAAACCCAAACTTCCAACGGGCACATCTTCTAAACGATTACTACACAGATAATTATTATAATACCGATAACTATGAAAACTATGACACAGATTATTATACAGAAAATAATCCACAAACTGATAACTTTTACGAAACCAATAACACACAAAATTATCAGGATTTTCTTTCACTTCAGAATCAAAATCATCCTCCCAATCATACGAACCACTCAACGGATATTACGAATATCCAAGAACAAATTCAAGCACTCAACTTGGACAACTTTCGTCCGGATCTCAATTTTCCCGAACAGACATTCATGTAACCCCATTTCATACAATGAGTTCCAAAAATTTATATTACATTAACGATGTTACCAACACCTTTAAACTTTTAATCGACACAGGTGCTGGAATCTCTGTTTTCAAAGAAAACACAGCACGCAATTATCATAATAGATTTCCCAAAAACGTTACTATTCAAGGTATAACCGATCAAAAATTGTTAATAACAGAATCTGTCCTGATTCCCTTCACTGACAATAATCCTCACAAAGTCTTTATTTTCAATTTAGACATTGATTTCGATGGCATAAGAGGCCTAGACTTTCTAGACCATTATGAATGCGTAATAGATCTCAAATCCCGACAGGTGCATACAAATTTTAAAACTGTCACCCTTCACAAAGTAGGACACGAGACAAACACACCTCCTAAAGACAAAACACCGACACACCCTACAGAAACAAGACAAAACGAACCTAAAATAAAAATTAAATCAGATTCTAAACAGGAATCAAATTTAAAATACTAAAACCCTATGAATGAAAAATACACATCATAAAAAACCAAGATCAAGACAAAAATCTTGAAAAACCGGAGAGAAAACGAATAAAAGGAAAAAAACAGAATTATTATTGACAGCCGGACCGAACAAATATGCAAACTAAAATGCAACTTATCAAATTCAGATGCCATATTATAAGCTCAAGAAATAGAAAAAGTAAAATTACCTCATGCATTAGTCCATGTAGACGAAAATGGAGAATTCTTAACTTCCGTCCTAAATGCTAATGCAATGCCGAAGACAATCGAATTTTCAGACATTTCAATCGCACCTTTCAAAAATTCCGAGACAATCCTATCCTACAACGGAAATGATTTTGAAGGACCAGTACTAGATAGAACACGAATAATTAAAGAACAACTAAGAATTGATCATCTAAATTGCGAAGAACAAGAACTAATTCTAGATATATGTACTGAATATGCAGATACATATTATGTCAAAGGCGACAAACTGACCTTCACAAACGAAATCAAGCACAAAATCGAAACAAACAACGCTAAACCTATCTTCACTAAATCCTATAGATATCCTCAAATACATAAGGAAGAGGTAAAGACGCAAATTAATAAAATGTTAGAAGAAGGAATAATCCAGAAAAGCGTCTCGCCCTGGTCGAGTCCAGTCTGGGTCGTACCGAAGAAATTAGATGCGTCAGGAAAACAAAAATGGCGAGTTGTTATTGATTATCGAAAACTTAACGAACTCACAGTACAAGACCGTTATCCTCTACCACAAATATCAGAACTATTAGACCAACTAGGAAGATGCCAATACTTCAAAACACTAGATTTAGCGTTTGGATTTCACCAGATCGAAATCGAGCCACAAGACATCCAGAAAACGGCCGTGATCATAAAACTTGATCATCCGTTTTTAATTTAGCAATATCTCATTTTGTATCTTTTTTTTTTCTGAAAAAGTTGTCTGTTGGCGTTTTAATTACTTATTTAAACATAGTTTCACTAAAAAATTGATGAATCCCTAGATGAGAGTCTTTTTGTATTATCTCATACTACACATTTCAACTGTCAAACCCATCTATACAAAAAAAAATTATTATGAGAAAAAAATTCTCATTTTTTACTAACTTGACTGGTCTACATATTGTTAATTTAAATAAAAAATTTGATACTTACAATTTGTCAATTTCTTTGAGACCATAAAATGAACCATCTTTAAGCTCTCTTATAAGGTTTCGTTTTAACTTCAATGTGCTTAGATGTTCAAGAGTTTTAAAATTTAAAGCTTCAATCACTTGTATATTATTACGATTTAATTCCCTACAAAAAAAAGACAAGTAAAAACTACATCAATCACATTTATACGCAGTAGTTACATATTTTTATATACCAGTTTAGTAAGACGGAGGACCTCTACAAACCTGAAATTTATATCAATTGATTTTGCTTCAGTTACTGATTAATGTACAATGTTTTTATTGGATGTTCAACATTAATTTTGATGTATTCTGCATTTAAAATACAGTAGAACATCAATTATGCTTGCGCGCATTATCCAGACTGCGGATTATCTGTGCTATGATTTGCCATTACCTAAATTGGATTTTTAAGGTTTTATCGAAATAGAGTCACCGTAAATCACTCAACGGAAACTCTATAGCCGCGAGGGAGACGCATAAGGGTATGTTCCATAACGGAGACCATCGCATCGTATCCTCGCCTAGAGCATAGCATCGTACTCTTCATGTTCACAACGAGGAATCTCCCCCTGGTATCGTTGTCGTTTCTTCGTATTTAACTTAGTGTTTGTTGTACGTTTGCCGGCAGTATGGAATTTTCATCGTCGTCAGATGAGGATGATATTCTTTTCGAATCAAATTTACAAAATGGTATTTTATGGAAAAGCGAAAATACAAAGTTCATTCTTTAAACAAAAAGCGATTGGAGAATTTCACCACTTTTTAACGACTGCAAAAAAGATAAACGTTGATTTTCTCAGTATATGCGCTGAGAATCGCTATCAATTGCCATTGGTCGAGACGAGACACGGTTATGCTGTCGGCCTGTCGAGTGTCGACAGCTATGTATTTCTTTTTGGAGGTAACTTTCTAAGTGTGAACATAAGAAATAATTATGCCGACTGTTTATGCAACAGAAGAACGGGTACAAATAATAAAATGGTACTTTGGGGGCAATTCAGTACAAGAAACTATCAATTTATTTATTATGGCTTTTGAAAATAGGCCAATACCTATAGAAAAAACTGTATTAATCATTATTCATCAATTTGAAAAGCTTGGCTGTACTAATGGCAGATCAGATCAACCTCGCGAAAAGAAAATTTCTCAATAACGAGAAATTAGAGAAATTCGAGTTTGTGCATTGGCTGAAGCGACGCCGTGTGGCATCAGTGAGGAATATTTTGAAAAGAAACAAATACCATTGTTATAAAGTGCAGACAACTGCAATTTTGTGAAATTATGATGGAGAGATGCCATGCAAATAATAATTTTTTTAAAAATATTTTGTTTACAGATAAGTCCTTCTTCACTAGAAACATAATTCATTATTCCTGCACTTCCACGTCTTCAAATTAACTTCAACGAAATCTGGTTTCAACAAGACGGCTGTCCTGCACATAATGCAAAAGTCGTTAGAGACTATTTATCGTTAATTTTTGCTGAACGTGTCATTAGTACAGACGGTCCAATAAAATGGCCCCCTCGGTCACCTACACACCACAAGTTAGCTCCTATAGATTTTTATTTTTGGGAGATGCTAAAAAGAAAATTGTACAAGCATGAATTCCAGCGAGCCACCAACTTGGATGAACTAAAGGAAAAGATAATCCAACTTAGCCAAAGCATATCGGCAGATGAACTCAACGCCATGAGGAATGCTTTGTATAATAGATTTGGTTATTGGAACTTGGTGGTCTGTTTGAACATTTAATTAGCTAAGAATTTGGTTTAGAATTTCTAATTGTTTGGAGTTATTTTTAATTTAAACAGTAGTATTGGAAAATTATTTTTTATTTGATTTCATTTTTATAGAACAAACTTTATACTAATTTTATCTTTTTTTGTTTCATTTTTATAGAACTAATTCTTATTTTCACACTTAATACCTCCAAAAAATCTAAACGAAACAAAGTTTCACATATTATTTGCAAAATACCAAATAATATCTTATTTTTAATTAAAAGACGTAATTTTTCGTCCAGTTTAAATTTAATACACCTTCTCCCTTATAATGCTTTACTAATACTGGTGTTTATTTATTATTCTTTATGAAAGAACAACTTACTACCGTGATTACGCATGACATATCACAGAACTAGTTCTGTTCTGTAGAGATGAGCGTTGAATCACCGAACTGTTTATTTGTCGTTAAAGAATCTACGTTTTCTCACTGGGAAGCCAAGTAGTGGATGGTGTTCTGAAGTTGAAATCTTTATTGATAGAGTTCGTTAAAGGATTTAGGTTGTTAGTATTTTATGGCATCACTTTGAGAAAGACATTAACAGTGATAAGGCTGTATGCAAATTTTGCAAAGAAAAACTTAGTTATAAATCAACTACAGCAAATTTGAAAAGCCGTTGAAAGTATTTCAGTATATTTTTTTTGATTCAAGAAATCATGTTTGTTTATGTACTTGATTGAATATTTTAATTAGTTTTTCAACTTGTTACTTGTTTACGAAAAGCAGTTCAGTTTCATATCTACTGTTTTTCTCGGCTGACTCGGCTCTACTGACTTCTACTCTACAGTCAGAGAACTACGAACACAGTTCGCAGTTCGGAGTCCTTACTTTAAAAGCTCGACGTTGCCAAATAATGATGTAAGAAGGTTTTGTATTGTGGTGTCATATTGCATCTTATTATTTTTATTGCGAATAAGGCACAATGTGACTTTAAATAAGCTTATTTTGATGTTTATATTTCTAATTCGGAAATCGTACTTAAAATACGAAACATTAATAAATTTTATTTACATAAAATGATTTCCGAAGTGGAAATCAAAACGTTAAATTAAACTTATTGTAAAGGAAAATTGTGACATATTTAAAATAAAAAACAGTAAGCTGCCATTTAAATCAATTCGCCCAAATTTGATTATCTTAGAACGTTGTTAAAATGCTAAAAAGACAACAGGTCAAATAAAACCAATAAGTTTGGCAACGTTGAACTTCTCCTCTTTTCTTAGTTCCGCTCTCTCTTTTTAATAGATGTTTCTCACTCAATCTTACGTAAGGTACATACCGACCATAAACTTTTACCTACACTGTAGAAACTTTTGAGTATATTTTATGGCAAAGTCGATAATGCTTTGGATAAAACTATAAAAATTGCCACGCACAGCCAATTTCACTTGAAGAACGGTTAATGGTAACAATAAGGTATGTATTAAAGCTTTATACAAAATATTACATTTAAAAAGACAGTAAGCCAAAGTTACAAATTTTTTATTATTATTGCTTTAAGTTAAAAAAAAATAACACAAATATTTAATTAAAATTTGGATAATTCCAATGTTGTGAAGTTTGGTGAATTCTTTGCTCAGCATTTATAGTAGACGTGGAAGGTGTTGGTAACACATTGTAGCGTTTTATGTTTAATGTCTATATAATAATATAAATTCGGTTTTAAATATTTGTAGTACGCCCCTGGTTGTTTATCTCAAGTTGTAGCAAGTTTTTTTTATATCTCGGCGGAGAAGTTAAATGTAGGGGAAGCCGGGGCAAAATGAGCACCGGGGCATGATGAACAATTCCTTAAATTTAGAAAATTTCCAATGCAATTTGGCAACACCTCTCTAGCATAATGTAAAAGGCGCGTGCACGTAACAGGCAACTCAGTTTAGACGAATCAACCGTTCGCTGCGGTCGTTATTTGTAATAGATATCTCTTTGTACACGTGATATAATTTTGTATGATATTGTTTAGTATACTACGGCAATCAGTGATTAGTTTTTAAAATTGTTACAGCTCTACGATCAAAAGGTGAGTTTAGTTATTACATTAATGTAACTTAAATCAAAAGAATTGTTGTGGTTTCTTTTAAGGAGGCAAAAATAGTTAAATATGAAGCGTGGGGCATAATGAGCGGGGCAAAATGAGCAATAATAGCGTGCCCATAATGCCCCTGTCCGTATTGCCCCTCGTTATCAAGCTGTTAGATACACTCTTAAACCAACGTTTGTTTCTATTTCAGTTAAGCAAATATGGTGCGTAATTATATAAAACAGACCAACAGACAATCTTGGACAGAGAATGGAATGGCACAAGCAATTGATGCTGTTATAAATCGAAACATGGCGTGTCAAACTGCTGCTACAAATTATGCTGTTCCTCGTGCTACTTTACAACGTCGCATACGTAGAGGTAATGGATTTTGGGAACAGCTATGACCTTGAAGATTTCACATAAACTTGTGTACTAAATAGGCATAATGCATAGCTCATGTCAAAATCCAATACATTAATAATATAATTACATATCTTCGATTCAAAAATATTGTAAAAGACTTTAAAGAGTCTGAGTAAGAAAAAAGATTTAGTTATATTCTTTGTGGCATTTTCAAGGTCATAGCTGTTCCCAAAATCCATTAACCTTAAATACCAAGCCAATCAAGACATGTCTTGTGCCGTTAAAAAAGGCATGGGATTCTTCAAACCGGTATTTACACCAGAGCAGGAATTGGAGTTGGTTGGCTATATTCAAAATATATATATATATATATATATATATATATATATATATATATATATATATATATATATATATATCGCCTTTTTGGGCTTACATCAAGAGACCTTCGAAAAGTTGCATATCAGTTAGCAGAACGAAACGAAATTTCCCATAACTTTAATCATACCACCAGAATGGCGGGAGAAGATTGGTTGTCTGCTTTCCTTAAAAGGCATGATGTTCTATCTTTGAGAAAACCAGAGGCAGCTTCTGCAGCACGCGCTATGGGTTTAACAAAATTTCAGTAAATAGGTTCTTCGAACTTCTAACTACGACTATTGAGAAATACCAGATAACGGCAGATCGATTATTTAATGTTGATGAGACTGGCATAACCACTGTTGCCAAAAGTCTCAATAAAATTATCGCAACCAAAGGGAAAAAGCAAGTTGGGTCTTTGTCGTCCGCAGAGAGAGGGAAGATGCTTACTGTGGAAATATGTATGGGTGCAGATGGTTCATTCATGCCTCCACTTTTTATTTTTCCAAGGAAACGAATGAAGCCGGAACTGTTAGATGGCGCACCACCAGGGTCTTGGGCTGAGTGTAATGATTCAGGCTGGATGCAAGGT